CATCAATATTACTATAATAGTAACTACCAGTAGTACAATGACTGCACTGATAGCTGCTATTAGTATTATAGATGCACCATTTCCTGCATTGCCTTGTCCTGGTGTTGAAGTCATTGTAGTGCTTAGTGAGGAAGTAATACTAATAGATGCAGTAGGAATGGAATCAGTAGGAACAGCAGCAGTAGTAATAGTAGGAACAGCAGATACTGTAGTAGTAGTAGAGTATCTTGTCATACTACTACTAGATGGAGGCTTCATAACTGATGGCAGTGAAGTGGTATCTGATGTAGCTATTGAGGATGTGGTTGATGTTGTAATGTAATTAGAAGATGTACCAGTGGTAGCTACTGATGTGGGTTCTAATGGGAGAGTTTATTAATCTTCATAATACCAAATAGAAGTTATTCTTACCTACTACAACTAAGATGAGTGGATAGTCATTGGTATCTAATGCAATTAACTCATTGTTGTCCGCCAGTCTGTAATTGTGTGGTCCATTGTATTTTTGATAGAACATCTGATTTGTATTATCACTTTCAATCATCAGCATATCACCAGGTTGTACTGTTATCTCATTGCTCATAGTAAAATTATATAAAAGAGAAGTTATGCTAACAGCATTACTAGCACTAGTGTTCAATGTTGCTGCTGTAGTAGTGAGATTATTTGAATGTCTTATTTTAATTACTGGCATAACTTGATCAGGAACATAAACTATCCAGTTAGTAATAATACCATGACATGTGAACCTTATATCAGGAAATATTCTAGTATCATCAACATAATATGAATCAGTAATAGAATAACTTAATGAATTGATTAGGCTTTCAGGTACATCAGGTACAAATTGTGGAAAGCAACCTAAATTAATAGAAATGATTCATTTATAATTGATTCATTATGATACCTGTATTCTGTACTATTGGATGTATTAGTATAGTGACATCTTCATGGTCAACCTGTCGTGGTGGTTTCATCATGGAACCACTCTTTATTCTAATGTCACTGTTGTTAATGAGATTTGTTTGTACTTTTCCTGTTCTATCTTTATCATCCATACCAGGTAGGTCAATATAATGAAATCTAACAACACTTCTGTCATCAGGAGGTTGATATACACCAATCCTGTATCCACTGGAGACACTTAATGGAGTAGGGGGAGTGAAACGATACTGTCCATTAGTTGTAAAGTTATCAGGAGTCAGTCTGATTTCAACAGACATCCCTATTAGTCTAGTGTACACATCATCATCATTAGTTGGAGCCCATACTTCAAATCTTGGATATAGATTTCTAATACCATCAACTGTCCTTATATCAACTCCAATCAATATTTCTGTTATAACTGTATCACACGTGAATTTTATGTCGTCGTCGATGATAATCCGTCTCGTTGCTACATCCAGACGGTTCTCATAGTTAGATAATATGTTATTGCGTAAATTTCCGTGTGGAATAACTGCTTTACCCTGTAGAAGACTATAATCCATAAATCCTTCAGTACAAGACACTCCATTAACCTCCAGTAATATTCCATTAATCATGAAGTACAGCAGTATTACAAATAGAAGATAGAAAGACATTTCTTCTTGCAAGTTTTAGCTGTCTGAACCACGCCCAGCCTAGCTAGACTATTGTCTAGATCTCCCACACAAAATAGATCTTAATCATACTCTATAAAAATTTTATATCTAAATTTATCTTTTTACCTTTAAGGAACATTTTACATTTTCTGCTGATGCAACCAATTTATTCTATTATAAATCTTGCTGTGTTGTGTTGCAGCTATGTGTGTTTGTGTGTGTGTGTGTGTGTGTGTGTGTGTGTGTGTGTGTGTGTGTGTGTGTGTGTGTGTGTGTGTGTGTGTGTGTGTGTGTGTGTGTATTGCATTGTATAGGCATGATCGTGAAAAATGTGTGCTATAGGAAAGTATTCTTCTAAGAAGAACTATTTGTGGCTGTGATTGTTACGCCTACCACATGTTGATTATGCAATTAATAAAAGAATTTTTTGCTTTTCCAATATCAAATAAATAAATTAATGAAAAGTAATAGTGTAAAATGCACACACTAGTGTCATTAAACTATGTCACTGTAGAAGGTGTAGTTTGTTGCTTTATAATTTTTACTTCATTTTGCTTTATTGTAACCTCTAAAAATAATATTCTAAGAATAACTGTTATTGATGGTAAATTGTTGCACCAGCTGATTAATTATATGATTAGACATTCTGTTTACTTTACAATTACTTACCTCTTGTTTATTATACATCATTGTTCTTGGTTCATCATATACTAATGCTTCTTCATCAATACCTTTAAGTCGAAACAAATGCTTTAATGAACAACTACACACAAGTCTGATTACATGGCACAAATAAAAAATTTTATTTTCTCAATTAAAAAGTTATGTAGAATATTTCTCCCCTCATCTCTATGTAACTACACACTATTACTTTTTATTCCTCCAGTAATACCATAGGCAGGATTAGCAGATACACCAGATCCTACTAATAGTTGTATTGATTAATAATAATAGTCTATCTTACTTTCAGTAATACCATAAGCAGGATTAGCAGATACATCAGTATTGCAGTCTATGTCATGATGTTAATATCATTATTGTACTCATATAATATCATTAGGTCTTACTTTGACCAGTAACTCCATAGGCAGGATTAGTTGATGCTAATAGTGTATTTTCCATATTTGGTGCTATAAATTGATTTTCTTTATCATGTTTACATACACACTTATTATAATAAACATTACCATCTGATTGTTGATTTATATCAGCTTTTCTTTCAGTAGAACTGAAAGTATCATTTCCATTTGATGTTTTATACAATCTTCTCCTACACACTAATACACTCACTATTAATATTACTAGTATAGTAACTACCAATAATATAAATACTGCTGTACTAATACTTCCTGCTAATATTAGTGTATTACTGCCTGTACTTTGTAATGTACTAACTGGTGTACTCATCACTGATGTAGTACCTATAGTCAATGATAAACTGTTACTTGATGTTAAGCTAGTTTTAGTACATTCCATTGATTCCATTGTTACAGTAGCTGTGGAGTATATGCTTGATGATGGAAGCACAGTAATGACAGTATTAATATGTGTACTACTGATTGTTGAAGTAGCTGTATTTGTGAAAGGCTCTATATGATATTGGAAATAAATAATTATTTACTTATATGATGTAAAAAGTTATTTTTACCTACTACAACTGAGATGAGTGGATAGTCATTGTTATCAAATGCAATTAACTCATTGTTGTCACCCAGTCTGTAATTGTATGGCCCATTATATCTCTGATAGAACATTTGATTTGTAGAATTACATTCAATCATTAGTATGTTGTACTGCTATCTCATTGCTCATAGTAAAATTATATAAATTCTGAGATATACTAACAGCATTACTAGCACTAGTGTTCAATGTTGCTGCTGTAGTAGTGAGATTATTTGAATGTTTTATTTTAATTACTGGCATAACTAGTGCAGGGCCACCAATTATCCAGTTAGTAATAATACCATGACATGTGAACCTTATATCAGGAAAAACTCTTGTATCAGAAACAAATAGTACATCAGTGATAGTATAGCTATAAATTATGCTCACTGGCAGCAGTAATTGTGAGTTACTGTAGCAACCTACTTTAAAACATAAAGATTTTAATATCATCATTGTTGATATATATTTTTACTTGTATTCTGTGCTATTGGATGTATTAGGATATTCCATGGCTCATGATCAATGTCTCCCATAGGTCTTGATATTCTAATATTAGTATCATTAATTCTATATAACCGTACTTTTCCTGTTCCATCAATATTAGTAGGTAGGCTCCTAAAATGGAATCTAACAACACTTCTGTCATCAGGAGGTTGATATACACCAATCCTGTATCCACTGGAGACATTTAATGGAGTAGGGAGAGTGAAACGATATTGTCCATTAGTTGTAAAGTTATCAGGAGTCAGTCTGATTTCAACAGACATCTCTCTAGTGTATCCATTGAAGTTTTCAGTTGGAGCCCATACTTCAAATTTTGGATATAAATTTCTACCAACATTATCATCAACTGTCCTTATATCAACTCCAATTATTATTTCTGTTACAACTGTAGCACACGTGAACATGATGTCTCTCTTTATAGAGTTCTCATCTTGATCCTCAATGATGATCCATCTTGTTGCAGTGTTTTCAGCTAGTCTATTATTACGTAATGATCCTGATGGAGTTGTTGCTTTACCCTGTAGAAGACTATAATTCATAAATCCTTCAGTACAAGACTCTCCATTAACCTCCAGTAATATTCCATTACTCATGAAGTACAGCAGTATTACTAATAGA